AGAATTGAGAACTCAGATATAAGTCCATCCACCTACAGTCACCTGATCTTCGACAAGGGCCCAAAGCCTATCAAATGGGGAACAGACAGTCTTTTTAACAAATGGTGCTGATAAAACTGGATATCTGCAAAAAAATGAAACAGGACCCATTCCTCACACCATGCACAAAAACTAATTCAAAATGGATCAAAGACCTAAATATAAAACCAAAAACTATAAAGATCTTAAAAGAAAAAATAGGATCAATGCTAGAGGCCCTAATACACGGCATTAACAGGATACAAACCATAACTAACAAAACACAAACTCGAGAAGATAAGCTAGATAACTGGTATCTTCTAAAAATTAAACACATGCTTATCAAAAGACTTCACCAAAAGAGAAAAAAGAGAACCTACAGACTGGGAAAAATTTTTTGGCTATGACAAATCAGACAAAGGTTTAATCCCTAAAATCAGCAGGAAAATACAATACCTCTACAACAAAAAGTCAAATAATCCAATTAAAATTAGACAAAATAAATGAACAGACACTTCACCAAAGAAGACATTCGAGGGGCTAAAAGACACATGAGGAAACGCTCGTGATCACTAGCCATTAGAGAAATGCAAAACAAAATCACAGTGAGGTATCATCTCATCCCGGTATTAATGGCAAAAATTTAAAAAAAACAGAAAATAAAAAATGTTGGAGAGGCTGCATGGAGACTGTAAATCTTATACACTGCTGGTGGGAATGCAAAACGGTACAACCATTTTGGAAAATGATATGGAGCTTCCTTAGAAAGCTAGAAATAGAAATACCATTTGATCCAGCAATCCCATTTCTAGGAATATATCCTAGAGACGTAAGAGCCCACACGAATAGACATATGCACACCCATGTTCACTGCAGTATTGTTCAGAATAGCAAAAAGATGGAAACAACTTAGATGCCCATCAACAGATGAATGCATTAAAAAACTATGGTACACACACACAATGGCATACTACACGACGATAAAGAACAATGAAGCATCTCTCAACATGGATGAATCTGGAGGGCATTATGCTGAGTGAAATAAGTCAATCATAAAAGGACAAATATTGTATGAGACCACTACTATAAAAACTCATGAAAAGGTTTACACACAAAAAGAAACAATCTTTGATGTTTAAGAGGGAGGGGAGGAGTTGGTGGGGGGGACACTAAATAGACAATAGATAAGTGGTAACTTTGGTGAAGGGTAAGACAGTACACAATACTGGGGAAGCCAGCACAACTCGTACAAGGCAAGGTCATGGAAGCTCCATAGACACATCCAAACTCCCTGAGGGACTGAATTACTGGGCTCGGGGCTATGGGTACCCTGGTCTCAGGAAACATCTAGCTCAATTGGCATAACATAGTTTATAAAGAGAATGTTCTACATGCTACTCGGTAAGTAGCGTCTGGGGTCTTAAAAGCTTGTGAGCGGCCATCTAAGATACTCCAGTGGTTGCACCCTGTTGGGAGCAAGGGAGAATGAAGAAAACTAAAGACACAAGGGAAAGATTAGTCCGAAGGACTAATGGACCACAACTACCGCAGCCTCCACCAGACTGAGTCCAGTACAACTAGATGGTGCCCGGCTACCACCACTGACTGCTCTGACAGGGATCACAACAGAGGGTCTCGGACAGAGCTGGAGAAAAATGTAGAACAAAATTCTAACTCACAAAAAAGACCAGACTTACTGGCCTGACAGAGACGGGAGAAACCCCAAGAGTATGGACCCCAGACATCCTTTTAGCTCAGTAATGAAGTCACTCCTGAGGTTCACCCTTCAGCCAAAGGTTAGACAAGCCCATAAAACAAAAAGAGACTAAAGAGGCACAGCAGCCCAGGGACAAGGACTAGAAGGCAAAAGGGGACAGGAAAGCTGGTGACGGGGAACCCAAGGGAGAGTGCTGACATGTAGTGGGATTGGTAACCAATGTCACAAAACAATAAGTGTACTAACTGTTTAATGAGAAGCTAGTTTGTTCTGTAAACCTTCATCTAAACGACAATAAAAAAAGAATGATGTTAGCTGTAGCTTTTTCATAGATGCTTTTTATCAGGTGGAGGATGTTCCCATCTATTCCTATTTTGCTGAGAGTCTGTATCATGAATGTAAACTGGATTTTGTCAAATGCTTTATCTGCATCTGTTGAGATAATATTCTTTCCTTTTTAATTCTGTAAATACAGTGAATTACATTGACTAAATTTTTGACTGTTAAACCAACCTTGCATTCCTAGGATAAACTTCATTTGGTCATGGTATCTATCCTGAATTCAATTTCCTAAAACTTTGTTAAGAATATTTGTGTCCATGTTTATGAGGGCTATTGACTTGTGGTTTCCTTTTCTTGCAATGTCTTTGTCTGGATTTGGTATGACATCAATTCTGGATTCATAAAAAATATGCTGGGATGTTTCTTTTCTTCATCAATTCTCCAGAAGAATTTTTGTATAATTTACATCATTTCTTCCTTAAATGTTATGTAGAATTTACCAGCAAAGACCTCTGAGCCATCTCACCTCCAGACAGAAGCTGCCGTTTAGTCTCTTGTATCTACTTGAGCTAAGAGGCACACTCCTCACGAGTATCACTTTATGTCCCACAGTCCAGTCCAATCCTTGTCTGAAGAGTTAGCCTCAGAAATTGTTTTACTTCTGGGCTGATAGAGAATCTGGCGACCATGCTTTCCGGGGTTCTTTGCACTATTCTTGCAACTTTTCTGTAAGTTTCTTTGGCATTATTTACAGGGTCCTTCATGGTTCAACTCACGTCTACCTCTTTGGTCTCATCTTTTACCGTCCTTCCTCTCATTCTCTGTGATCCAGTCCAACTGAACTGCCTTCATTTCGTCAAAGGTTCCACACTTCCCACAGGTACCAAAGGCCCTAGTACATGTTATTGACTCTGCCTGGAATAGTCCTTGCCCCTAACTCCTTCTCCCATCTACCCTTATCTCCGAAAGGAAAAAAAAATCAAATCATGCCAATACATCTTTCAGGTCTCACCTTAAACATCACGTTCTTTGAGAAAGGCTTCCTTGACTCTAGATTCAGTTATATTTCCTTGGTTTAAGTTCCTATAGCACTCTTAATTTCCCCTAGCACAATACACATAACGTATTCTTTTGTAATTTTTTGCCAATTGTTTCTTTCCTAAAAGATGTTAAGCTTTGTCGGGGCAGAAATTATGCCTATAGTTTCATTGGTCCATCGCCAGTGCCTAACATTGTCCCTAGAACACTGAAAGCACTCAACAAATATTTTGAATAACTGCATGGAGGCATTTTGATTTCAGTATCTTTCCCCTTAACATTTGTGGGAAATTCAAAAATTCCCTAGTATGTGTCTGATACATGACTAAAATTAATTTAAACCTGTCCACAAATATGTAAACATTCACTCATCCTGTCTAGTCCGGTCAACATATGAATCCTACAGGCAAAACACCAGGTTTCAAAATTAGTTTTCTTATTTTATCATGCAAATTAATGTAGTTGATTCTGCATTTCTATATATGAACTATCAGTCTCATCACTTATTAGTCATGGACTGGCTCTGTGGCCAGTGTAATACCATAAACCAAAAAAACCAAACCGATTGTTGTCGAGTCGATTTCAACTCACAGCAACCCTAAAGACTCCCTGAATCTCATGGCTGGAAGTATGCTTTAAAAGGTTACTTAGTACCTCTCTATTTTCCCCCTATATGAATCTCTTCTACAACCTCCCAACTGGCTGCCCATCCTCTGCTTCCTCCTCCTCAATGAGAAGGGCCTCCATGCCTCCTGAGGCAGACCTTACATTGAAGCACCTTTAACTCTCACCTTCCTTATATTGCCCTGAAATCTGTCTGCCTGCAGCTTCCATTTTTAATCCAAATTTTACCCCATAGGACCACAGAAAACAAGTTAATTCCCTTTACTTCTTGACAGCCCTGATACTTAAAGACAACGCTCAGGTTACTCACGAATTTTCTCTTACCTCCAGCTCTCCCTCCACTCGCTTCTCATTTAAGATGTTTCTGAATCATCTTACTAACTTGTTCACTCTCTGATCATGTTTCAATTTGTCACTGTCCCTTTTACAGTACAGGTTCCAGAGACATACACTGTACTTCAGGTTGGAAGTGAACAGCACAGAAAATAGGAATTAGCATAGAGCAGGGGTCACCAAACTGCTTCTGTAAAGGGTCAGATAGTAAATATTTTAGGCTTTGCGGGTCATTTGGTCTCTGTTGCAACTACTCAACTCTGCCATTGTACCACCAAAGCAGCCATAGACAATATGTAAACAGAGGCCAGATTTGTACTATAGGCTTGAGTTTGCCCAACCCAGGCATAAAGGAAAGGAGGACTAACATATTCTTTCTAAAGATTTGCCGTTTTAACACAGCCCATGATATATTACAATGCATTTACCTCCTTTTGATCGTATTGCTGATCATGCTAAACTGACTGCCAACTAAGATCCCACCTAGCTAACTACCAACTAAGGTCCCACTTAGGCTTCTCTTTGGGGTATCAGGCTGATATGTGCTCAGGGGTTGGAGTACAAAGGCATGTTTCTCAGCTGTATTGGGCCACACCTGTCATCCAGGCTGGGATTGGTATTTTGATACCAGAAATGGCTTGACTAAAACATTGTGGTAAAATATCCCAGATACACTGATCTAACTGCTCACTCACTGGGGATGAGACATTTGGACCCATGCTAGTCCCAGGTACTAGAGTGACATTCTAAGAGTTGACACTTGGCCAGGAAGAGAGAAGTTATTTTGTATTTGGAAGTGAATTCAGAATCTTCCAAAACCAATCAGAAAGATCACCCACTGAAACAAAAGATCAGAAATAATTTGCAATGCTCAGAAGGAAGAAACTCAGCTTTACACTAACCTCATTGGTCAATAGACTACTGCAGGCATCTTATGAAATCTGTAGATGACAATGGCCAAGGAAATGATCTTAAAATAATAACTGACCTCCAAGTCCAGGTCGCAGCCGGTTGTCATAGCCATCCAGAAGACGATCTAAGATTCTGGTAAAGATAGTGATGTTGTCAGTGCTGTCGTCAGGAATATCTGGGGCATGCTTAGGAGAGAGTCTGAGGTAGTGCAAAGAAAGAGAAGAAAACAATCGTTCTTAATGGGAAACAACTACATGTCTAAACATTTTAATTCAAGATGATTTCAATCAATAGACTGAGGAAACTGACTAGCCCTATATCTTACGCAAACCAGCAAACACTTCCCATTTGTCACAACGGTTGCCTGTGTAGGAAGCAGAGCTCTTACTCTAGCATTGGCATGAAAAGACACAAATTAAAACAAAGCTAGTAATATATTCCCTGCTTCACTTACAGGGTTGTTGAGAGAATCAAATGGCAAAATGGACGCCCATGGAAGGAAAAAGGGACCTAAGCTTAAAGACTCTGGAAACATGCTTTTGAATTTATTAATTGTATGACCGTAAGCAGGTCATATAACACCTCTAGTAATACCTTTAGCATCACTAAAACGAAAATAACTTCACCGATATGTTGTATTAATATTAAAGCATATAATATATTAAAATTGCCAGGCTTAATGCCTAACATCTGGAAGTAGTCAAAGTTTGTTTTCTTTTTTTCTAAATAGTATTTTATGCACTGGAATGTATTATTCAAAGGTAAATATTAACAACAAAACATTAGCACCCTTTTCAGCCAAAAGCCATAAGGAAATCTTTCAGCCAGAGAGGCACTGGAACCCAGTCAAGAGCAGAGATGAGTGGACAGATGACTAGAAGTGATACAGATGCCTTATTGAGAAGGGGGAAGAAAAAAGGGAACTCTAGTGCAGAGTCAACAAACTGACATCAATATCCCAAGGGATAAATAACAGCCATCCTGTCAGGTGACAGTCCCACCCTTGGCTCCATCCACCAACATTCTGGATCCACTTTACATGGGCTGTGAGGAGGGAGGCTGTGGCAACTCGACTGATTTTGGGCAAACCTCTTTCTCATTATCCTTTAACTCTCATTGTGAGGAATCTTGACCCTAATTGCTGTTGTTGTTAGGTGCCATCAAATCAGTTCCGACTCATAGCTACCCTATGTACTACAGAACAGAACAGTGCCCGGTCCTACGCCACGCTCACAATCATTGTTATGCTTGAGCCCATTGTTGCAGTCACTGTGTCAATCCATCTCGTTGAGGGTCTTCCTCTTTTTCGATGACCCTCTACTTTACCAAGCATGATGTCCTTCTCCAGACACTGATCCCTCCTGACAACATGTCCAAAGCATGTAAGACGTAGTCTCGCCATCCTTGCTTCTAAGGAGCATTCTGGTTGTACTTCTTCCAAGACAGATTTGTTCTTTCTTTTGGCAGTCCATGGTATATTCAATATTCTTCGCCAGCACCACAATTCAAAGGTGTCAATTCTTCTTCGGTCTTCCTTATTCATTGTCCAGCTTTCACATGCATACGATGCAACTGAAAGTACCATGGCTTGGGTCGGGCACACCTTAATTAGCCTAACTCATTTTCTGGGAATTAGGTCTATGAATAGAACAAAAAACCATTTCTTGGATTACTGAGAGGGGAGAAAAAGGAGAATCCTCATAGAGTCCGAGACAAACTATAAAGTGCTTCAAGGATTAGCTACTCCAGTGGATTTATTGATGGGAATACTGAGGTCCCTGAAGATAATTTTTAATTACTCTGATAATTAATGAGAGAACTGGAATTTGGATCCCAAATTCCCCAATATGAGGTCAAAACACTGAGCTGCCTATTTTACTGAAAGTCTAACTTCCATGAGACTGCATGACCATCCCCTGCTGACTCTGTAATGATGTTATCAGCATTCTTCACTAATAACTTTAAAACTTTTAAGTCAAAATCAATGCTAAATATCACTCTAAAATGATTTTCTATAGATTGCTCTGATTTTACACTTGATTACTGATAGCTGTTTTCTCCTGATGTACATTAAATTATTGCATGGGCAGCTGGAAGACAGTTTAATCTAGAACCAAAATCAGAACGCTTCTTCAGTAACTGAACCACAAAAAGTTAAAGATGCTGTAGTTTATGCCCATCCAAAGACAGTTTGGAGGAAGAAGTCAGAATCATGGTATGTCAGTATTATGGAGCACCTCAGGGATCATCTCATTCTTTCCGCTCATTTTAAATATAGGGCACCCTGGAGAAGGACATCATGCTTGATAAAGCAGAGGGTCATTGAAAAAGAGGAAGATCCTCAAAGAGATGGATTGACACGGTGACTGCAACAATGGGCTCAAGCATAACAACGATTGTGAGGATGGCACAGGATTGGGCAGTGTTTCGTTCCGCAGTACATAGGACTGCTAGGAGTTGGAACCGACTCAACGACACCTAACAATAGCAACAACACACCTAAGGCACAGAAGACACATGATTATTAAGTTGATGACATCGATGCAATAACCATGCTTATTGTACCTCATGTCTGTCCTTACTGATTGGATTCAATATGTTAATAACAGTCCATCATTAAAACGGGAAAATGATGTTACTAATAAACTATCTGTAGTTTAGGCAGGTTTCATACTTTTCAAGTCCTAAAGATGGAATAATGGCCTAAGTCCATAGGACTACAGTCAAATGACCAGAGTCTTAGCCTTGATTCTACCACTAACTGATTATGTGACCTGTTTCCTTACATGTAAAATGGGGATAATAATATGCTACTTAAGAAAGCTTTGGGGAGAAGAAAGTAGACAAGATAATAATTGCAAAATTGCTTGAGAAATGGGAAAGCTTAGTATCTGTCTGAGGGATGATTATTCCTTCCTCCCCCCAAACTCCTGAAAAAGCAATGGGGAACATTTTAGGCTATGCAGCAAAGTCAAGCTCGCTGACCCGCTGGGGACTCAGTCCAGAATGCTGGCAGTAACAGCGCTTCAACCCCATTGGGGCGCCACGTGTGTTTATGTTAGGGGAAGCAGGAAAGGCACAGATGTGCAGTTGCTGAGGTAGCTCTTACCACAACCCAAAGACAGGAGGAATTTACTTTATTAAAAGGACAGCATTTTTCCTAATACTGCATTATCTCCTGGGCGGGGAACAGATTTTAAAAAGTAAAAAAAAAAAGAAAATTGAAAATTAAAGTGCAGGTCAGGTTCCGTACTTCTCACAAACCTTCCACAACTTTTCATGACTTACCATATAAAATCCAACTCCTTAGCCTGACATTCACAAACTTCTGCAATCTGTTCCCAATGTACTTTTTCAGCTGCAAATTCCACTACTTCCCTGTCTGACCAGAAATCATAGCCAAATCGTATTACTCACCATTTACCAACACTCCCCCATGTTTTCATTTTCCAACCCCAGACCTTTCCATAAGTGGAAAGGTCTAGCTAAAGCTTCAGCACTAGGGATGTCAATTATATATGGGGAAGGGAAAGAGAAACACCTGGAATTCAATAATAGACATTCTAACATCTTTACAGAACCTGCTTGAAGAAAAAACAATAAACCTAATTTCTGGCTAGAATATGCCGAATTCATCTAAAAAAGACAGCTGTCCTTTTTAAAATAGCTTCTATAGACTGGTAATGAAACTGGAGATGTTGTTGTATGCACACACTCAACATGTGCCCCACCTGCTCACACTCACTTCATTTGCTGAGTTAAAATGAAATAAAAATCAAGTCCTTCTGACTTCTTAGTAACAAAGCCATTGCTTCACAGGCATACACAAGAAGACCTGACTAGTATATGTCGTGAATGATAAACTAACAAGGGACTAGACCTTACAGATAAGATTCAAAATATGAACATAAGCAGAAACGCCCCAACTTAAACCAGACTGTGTTCCAAACATTTGCAAAGAATTAAGGGCACATTCTTTCTCTGAAACCATGTCATAAAGGGTAGCTAGTTTTCCAGGCAAGACTATGCAAGTCTTTGTTTCTCATAATTTACTTGAATAATTGTAACCATAGTGCCAATGGACAAGCACTCTTTTAGCAACATTTTCGGTGAAGTGGACATTCATAGGCCAGACTGAGAGCCATTTATAACACTGTCTGCAGGAAGAAATTAATTCTAATTCTAACACAAAAGAAGGGAAAATTACAGGACTAGGAATATTCTCTCCCCCATTATTATTTGCTCTCTACCCCACACCCACAGCCATGCTCCTGCAGTGGTAGCTACTGGCCACCAGCTCACAGCCTCTCTCAATCAATCCTGCTGGCTGGTATCCTTGTAATTGAGAGGCCTGGCAGTAATCACCTTAACCAAGTGATCACATTGAGCATTAGCATCAGAACCTTGCTTCCTAACCTGACACAACCCGAAGTCACAGAGTCACCTGTGAAGTAGTCTGGATCCCAACCTCAAATGTCCAGCCCTGTCCCATGTCGCATATGCAACATTTCCACTTCAAAAGGGAAAATGGAGGACCAAATAATATTTCTTATTCCTCCAGGCCCTATAAGAAAACTTCACTTGCCCCATTTTAACATAAGCCAGCCAGCCATATGGCTGAGATATACTTAAAGTGTAGATATTCTAGCTGCGTGAGCTTTGGCAAGTTACTTAACCTTCTTGTGCCTCTGTATTTTATCTGACAAATAGAGATAATGGCAGCATCTAGCTAGCAGGTCTGTTATAAAGATTATTTGAATTAACATACATAAAGCACTCTTGGTACATACTAAATGAGCCCTAGTGGTGCAGTGGTTAAGAGATCGGCTGCTAACCAAAAGGTCAGCAGTTCGAATCCACCAGGTGCTTCCTGGAAACCCTATGGGGCAGTTCTACTCCGTCCTATAGGGTTGCTATGAGTGGGAATCGACTTGACAAAAACAGGTTTGGTTTTTGTTTTGTTTTGTTTTGTTTTGTTTTTGGTATATACTAAGAGCTATTTAAATATGAGCATTAAACTAACAAGATGGAATATGACAGCTATAAGTAAAGTCTTGAACTGAGTTTCCGAAAATCTAATTAGAGAGCAAAGGAGGGTGTCCAGTTTGAAAGAATGTCTGGAAAATCATATAATGTGAGAATAGTTGAAGGAAACGAGAGCCTGTAGACAAGAAAGTGTGGAGTAGCTCTGAGAGCTG